TTTTGCTTGTGTGTGTATCTGGCCACCATGTGGGTGTCTGGTGCCTGTGGGGGTCAGAAGAGTGCTGGATCCCCTGGTTCAATATAGAGGCTTGTGAACCACCACATGGGTGCTGGAACCCGGTCCTCTGCAAGAGCAACAAGCTCTCCATCACAGAGCCATCTTTCCAGCTCCTTTTTACTAGTAATTGATTGTTTTTGAGCTGAAAGGTGGCGGCACACACCTTTAATCCCAGCACTTGGGAGGCAGAAGCAGACAGATTTCTCAAGACCAGCCTGGTCTACGGGGCTAGTTCCAAGACAGCTAGGGCTGTTACTCAGAGAAACCCTTTCTTGAAAAACCAAAAACAAAAAATCGTTTTATTTCTAAGTGAGAGGATAAGGCAAAGGTCAATTTGGGGCAAGAATCTAGTGGCCCTGTTGCCTTCCCTGGCAGTTTCTGAAGAGTGTGGCTTCTTGGGCCTGAGGTTGAGTCTTAATTATCACCTGATGACTCGTAAAAGAAAGCTACCTTCTAGTTGTCGCTCTTCTGTAAACTTTAATAGGAAAATTCAGAAGCTAAATTGAGGACCAAGATTTGATAATTTAGGCTTCCCCATGTGTGTTATTTTCATTATTCCTTTTATTTCAAAATTAGAGCAACAATGAGATGACCCTATGCCTGCTTGAGGGTGGGGTAGTTAAGCAAAAGTGGGAAGATCTGAACTGTAAAAAACTAGCTTGGGAGGAGACAAGTGTAGAAGACTAAAACAGCAAGCACATCTTCACGTGGAGCAATTTGAGTTTTCAAAAAAACAAACAAAAAAAAACAACCCAAAATTCCATGATCGTGTCAGGCCTAGGAGGGGCTGAAGTACAGAATAAAGAGGTCTGTATGCCAGCCAGGCAGTGGTGGCGCACGCCTTTAGTCCCAGCACTTGGGAGGCAGAGGCAGGCAGATCTCTGTGAGTTGGAGACCAGCCTGGTCTACAAGAGCTAGTTCCAGGACAGCCTCCAAAGCCACAGAGAAAGCCTGTCTCCAAACAGGACTATATGCCTAGCATGGAAGGAGATAGTCTGAGAGACACTTGGACTTTTTCTTGTTTTTGAGACAGGGTCTTTTTATGTAGCTGTTCTGGGACTTATTGGCCTTGAATTCACAGAGATCATGAATTTCCAATGGCTGGCACTAACGCCATGCTCCATCACATCCAACCAAATTTTCATTTTTCTTGTATTTTGTTTGGAGACAGGATCTTGTTTTATTGCCCAGGATGGCCCAGACCCTGTAAACCTCCCTTTCCAATGCTAATATGACAAGTGTGCACTCCCACAGCTAGCTATGGATTGTTTTCTCTTTACTAAAATACTGAACTATCTATATCGAAAGGAATGTGAGGGAGAGGCAATGATGGACACCTCTAATCCCAGCACTTTGGAGGCCTGGGCAAGAGGATTTCTCCCATAGGATTACTATTTTTTTTTTAAATAAAAATACTCAAAGGTAGACATAGGAAGGAACTAATGGACAGGACTCCATACATATTTGAGTGGCCTAAGAGAGGGATGGATGGAAAGAACAGAAGGAGAAAGCACCAACATTTAAAATTGTTATTCTTAATTTTATGTGTGTGTGTCTGTATGCATGTGGAGTCCAGAGGAGTTACAGGTGGTTGTCAGCTGCCCAACACGGGTACTGAGAACAGAACTCTGGTCTTCAAGAACAGTACGCTCAACCTTCAAATCCTCTTTCTAGGCCTATACCTCCTAAAATAAAAGATTCTTATGATTCTGTGCGAGCCCAGAGTCAGCTTTTTTTTTTATCTCGTAGAGATCTTTTGTGTAATTTTAGAAAAATAAAACTTCACAAATTACCACTTTCAAATTTCATTTTCTGTCCTTGCCTATACAGTATTAACCACCTCGGATATGCCTGATTTTAAATTTAATTTTCTTCACTCACATTTGTTCTTTTTGAGTCGAGAATTTGGATTTTCCCAGCGTGTCACTGGAAAATTAGAGTGAGAGACTTGGAATACATACATGCAGTAAGTGAAAGAAATACCCACTCAATGTTGAAATAAGTTTTATATTTGGAATATAAAAATGCAGTGTGGGAATCCTGGCCAGAGAGCAACATGGTGTGGTTCCTCACCTTCCCAGTTCACTGGGACTTTGTGTGTAGGTCGTCTCAATGTTTTTATTTTTATAAGGACTTTAAAAGATGACATGACATGGTCTTGAACTCCAATGTCAAGAACATGATTGTTCTGTATGCTATAGATTGTTGGCTGGCTTCACTTTACACTAATCCATGGCTGTAACAATCTATGAGTCAAGAGACCACTCTTCATTTTTCCTACATGTAGTTTCTTCTTGGAAAAAAAGTTGTTATTAGCAACTTACGTTTCTCTTTTCTTCCTTTCTTTCTCTCCCTCTCTCCTTCCTTTCCTTCTCCTTTTTTCTCTTTCCTTTCTCCCTCCCCTCCCTCTCTCTGCCTCTCCTTCCCTCCTTCCACCTCTCCTCTCCACTCTGTAGCCCAGTTTGATCTATGATGACTAGGCTGGCCTTGAGCTTGTGAGATCTCTGCTTCTGCCTCCAGAGTGCAGGAATTGCATATGTAAGTCATCAGGCCAGCTTTACTCAGCGTCTTTTCAATGAACCGTTCTTTGCTTGGGTATTCGCTCTTACCCTGCCTAGTATCACATCCTCCCATTTTCCATTCTGTTAGTGCTCTTGTAATTTTCTGTCCTTTTAAATCCTTATTTCTCTAAGAATTGTAAGGTGCATTAGAAAGATGTGTATTTTCTGTGTTTTTACTGGCCTGTCTCCCTTTTGAGGGCATGACACTCCTTTTATTCCCGAGTACTGTGCATCCAAGCCTCTTATCTGGCATGTAGAAAATATGCAATAAACATATATTGAATGAGCAAATGTATGCTTTCTTTCTCTTCATACATCTTTTTATTTTTTTAGGTAAGGCAAGAAGTTTAATCCTTAAGGTGAGGAAACAGCCCACGATTCATCTGGTGACTTCCCATGGTTGCAGAGCCAGCTCTTAGTGTGGGGACTGAAGGCTGCTGTGCCCACACTTTCCCTCACATTGTCCTTTGTGAACAAACTTTCAGTGACCCAGATGCAACTTGAACAATCCAAGAGCATGGTTTTTGTCGTGAAGTGTGTGTGAGTGTGTGCATTTTAAAGTGTTTTTAAAGTATGCACGCATTTTCATGTATGCTTTTAAGTGTGTGTGTTTGTCAATGTATTTCTAAATGTGTGCATTTTACCTGTAGTTTTAAATATTTTTGTTTTAAGTGTGTGCACTTCCAAGTGTGCATTTTAAAGTATTTAACTGTTTAAATGTATTGTTTAAGTGCATGTGCATTTTAAGTGTGTGTTTAAATGTATTTTTGTGTGAAATTCAAAGTGCATGTTTAAGCCTCAATTTTGGCTCTGGACCCAGTTTCTCCAATCTCTGTTCCCAACCTTCACTGCAGCCAGAATCGCTTCTCTGAAATGCAAATGTGATCATGTTACTTCCTTCCTTAAAAACCCTTCAAGCAGATGAAACTCCCAAGAGTTTGCTGAGAGAAGGCACTGTAATTGCTAGGGCTTTCTGTAGTCTTATCACTCCTCGTGTCCACTCTGGCATTCACTCACCCTGGCATCACACTTCTCAGTCTCCTGAATACAAGAGCTGGCTTCATTGCTCAGTCACACTAGAATTCCTTCCCTTACTCAGGCCACCCTAGCTAAGGAATCTCAACTACACTGCGAGGCACCACTGACTGCACTTTGGGGTGTGTCCACAACCTTACAGATTGTCCGTGTAAAACAGCCCCCTTCGAAAAGGACTAAGAGAATTTATTCTGAACCAATTATGAGTGACCTGTGCATGGCTGGGGAACATGGATTCGAGTTGCCTGGAATAACATGTTCCGACACGAAAACCCTTAATAGTGTACTCAAAGAATAAAAGAAAGAAGTTAAGGCATTTTCCAGACGCGGGTTGGATCATTGGGCTGATGATAGTAAACTCTAAGAGGTTTCAGAGCTTTAACTGATGACATCCTTAGCTTTCAAAGTGGTGGAAACAAGGGGTCCACTGAGATTGTTTTAAAGGTTTTGAGTCATAAGGATGTTAGGACAGACACGGGTGGTCAACGAATTACCCTTATTCAGGAACTGAAAGTATCTAAGGATAATTATCAAGTTTAAGTTAGTCATTCTGCCTTGTAAAATCGTCGCCGCTGGTCTCCCATACCAGCCAGCGTACTCGAGCTGCAGTAAGTTACAATAGCTACACCTGTCCCATTAGGCTTTAGGCCGAGCTCACCGCGCTAGCAAGGGAGGCTCCGTAGGGGTATGCAAATGAGTTGTAAAAAATTAAAAACGTAAAAGATAGGACTCCTGCCTCCCAGCCTGTTGTGTGACCGGGCAGGCAGAGCAGCCAGAACTACCGCCGCTTTAAGAGGATGCACGAAGCACAGACGGTCTAGACCCCAGGCAGAGGTCTCTCGAGAGCAGGATAGGGCGAGGAAAACCACGATGTCTTTTTAGTCACCTTGTGATATCTTAGAATTCAAGCTGCTCAGCGTCACAAACGACGCAGTGGAAGAATCGAACATTGAGGTCAAGGGCTTAGAGCCTTTCGCTACACCTCTCAGCGGCTCAGAGCCGGGCGAGCTCTAAGGTCTGCCTTGCGAATCTGCGCGGTGGCCAGACCAGCTCCATTGAGCAACTCCACTTCCGGAAGCGCAGCAGAGGGGGGCGAGCGTTAGGAGGTGGGACGCAGCGAAACATAGAGGCGGGGCTAAGGGCGTGGGCGGGGATAGAGTTGGTGTGGGAGGGACCAGGGGCGCGGCATGACAGAGTAAGGGGCGTGGTCGGGGGCAGGGCTTGGGCGGGGCGGGGCGGAGTGGGACCTGGCGGGGATTCACGGGGAGGGACGGGAATTCAGGGGGAAGGGTGGAGCGGGGCGGGAACCGGCCTGGTCACGCTGCGGCTGCGCGTTGTTGCTCCTCGCAGTTCGCCCGGGCGGGCGCGGTAGAGGCGGCGGAGGCGGTGACGGGGGAGGCAGCGGCGGAGGCGGTAACGCGGGGCCGGGATGCGGCGCTACCTGCGGGTCGTAGGGCTGTGCCTGGCCTGCGGCTTCTGCTCGCTGCTGTACGCCTTCAGCCAGCTCGCCGTGTCCTTGGAGGAAGGAGCGGCCGGAGGTCGCAGGCCGCAGGCCGCGGCGATGGGTTCCTGGCTGGCGGACGGCGGACGCGGCCCGGGGAGAGGCGCGGGCAGCGCGGGCTCCGGCCGGCCGGGCAGGTACGGGCCGCAGTGGCGGGTGCGGGGGTCTGGGAGTCCGCGCGGCTTCCACCACCGAACACTTTATGTTTGGCTTCAGACCCAGTGTCTGGAGCAGTTAGAAATTAATTTGCAACTTTCCTCAAAGGTTTGTTGGAAGTCAGTGGTGGCCCACAAAAATCCCGATTACAGTGGGAATTCCCTCCTGTTTCCATGGAGTTGAAGCTGAGCTATTTAAGAATCAGGCTGGCGCCCATGTTGAGTCCCCGCCTCCCAGGTGTCTAAATTTTCACTGTAAATCTTAACATTTTCATCAGCAGTCGTAGATAAATCTGGCCGTGGCATAAACGAGCTACGAATTTTTTATTTTGGAAATACTCGTTTTATCCGGAAACCTCAAGAAAGTTCAGAAACACTAGCGATACTTAATACGCTTATATTTTATGGGAGGAGTGGAATGAAGATACCGTTTTTTTTTAATGGGTGTTTATGACGGAATAATGATGGTTTGGTGGATTTGCATAAATCACTGCCAGGGTTAGAATTATGAAGTTTAAGTGGAAAACTGTTTTGGCAGTGCACTTCTCAATCTGAGCTTTTCGAAGTGCCTTGAGGGATACCTGTATTTTTGGGCAGTTCTGAGACCAACATATTGGGGAGTAGAAAACAGGGGAATTGTAAAAAGTACCATCCTCTTTGAGCTATTGTGTAGCATCTGAGAGTTGATGGTCCCTTCAGAGGAAAGGGGGTAGGTACAAAAGAAAAGCAGCATAGAGATTGTGAGTTACTGTTTGATGATTTGATTGTAGTCAGAGAAATGTGTGATCTAGGTATATTCTCAGGTCCCATTGCCCACATCTTAAAGTAGTAATTGTCTAGAATAACAAGAAATTCTTGGGGATAAAAAAAAATCTTTCCAACACTATAAAGTAAAACATTTAAAATGGTAAGAATCGTATTTCAGAGAAATGTCTTCTCAGTTATACTGTTGAAGCGATTATTTCAAGCCAGTCCTGGTGGCCTACACCAGTATTCTCAGCACTTAGGAAGTAAGGCAGGAGGAGGATGGAAAATTCAGTGCCTGTCTGGTTTTCATGAGTTCCAGGCCAACCTGGGCTTCCTAGTGAGGCAGACCAAGGACGCGCTGTGTATCCCGGGGGGAAGGGCTTGCCTCCACAGGTGCTGAGCTGCTCCTCCCAGGGTTTCAGTAGACAGAGACTGTATATACATTTTAGACAAATCTGTGCACTCATTCTCCCACTGGCGTGGGATCCCTTGATCACACTGTTACTTTGTTGTGTAGTAATTTCTTTACAATAAAATGTAGATAATCAGTTTTCAGCTACATTGGGATATAGTTGACAAATTAAAGTTGTATATGTTTAATACTAGCAAATTGATATTTTGATGCACATTCAGAAATGATTGTCACTTCCCTCCCTGTCCTTCAGATTGGCTAGACATCAAGTTCATTCTTTGCCGAGTACTGTAAACACTGGTAGGATATACTGAGAATTTAAACACTGGGAAGAGTGAGGGCTTTTGAGTCGTGGACTTTACCTTTGACACATACTGGCTGTGTTGACTTCCTCATTAGATATGGACCGTTTGTGAGAACTGAAGATGACTTAGTATGGTACCTGGTACAATAAAGCTGTAGCTAATATGGTGATTGTTTTAATTTTAAAGTGTAAGGGCCCTTCCCCCCCCCCCATTTTTCCTCATCTTTTTTCTTTCTTTTTCTTACTTTGGGGAACATTTTTGTTTACTGGGACCCAGTAAGAAACCTGCTAAACTAGAAGGCCTGAGACTGAAGTCCAGGTAGCTGTATTTTAACTGTTATGAAGATGCAAATGAACACTGAAAACCACTGATGCAGTTGAGAGATAGATTTGACCATTATTTTTGCAGTACTTTTCCCCCTTCTTCCCTGAATCTGATTTTGAAGGAGAGAGGAATTGGGGCACTGAACACTGGAGAAAGTTGAAATACTTAGGTAAGGCCCCTTTCCTCTGCCTCATAACACCAGCGCCATACTTTGTCTTTTAGTTTATTGAACAACTTACTGTTGAGGGTTGTCAGGGCTGCTGTAACAAAACTCTTCTGACTGTGCCAATTGGAAACAAGAGGAGTAAATTCTTTCTTACACCTTCTTGCTGTGTTGTCACATAGCCAGGCAGGTCCAGACTCTTCTACATGGACAGTAATCTCATTCTTGGGACCCTTCGTGCTCTAATCACTTACCATAGGGCTTGCCTCATCCAAGATAAGAATGTTTTAGTGTGTGTGTGTGTGGGGAGGTCATATAAAAACAGTCCACATTCTTAGTGTAATCCTGATTCATAATATTTAATAAAAGCTAGTAATTAATATGTGCTTTTTGGAGATACTCATTTGAGTAAGAAGTGTACTTTTGGCTTAGACTTTTTGTTTTTTGTGTTTTGAGGTAGGGTTCTCTATGTAGCCTTGGCTGTCCTAGTACTTGCTCTCCAAGTGCTGGGATTAAAGGCATGGGCCACCACTGTGTGCTGGTTTAGAGATTTTATTTTAAATATTAAATGTTGTTACACATGTCATATCTGTTGGAATTCTTCTCCCTGAATAATAACTTAAGTTCTGTTTGGAAAATATGTGTTGTATGAATTTAAAAAGTTTTGTTTTCAGGTTGGCTATTTTTTTTTCATTTAAAAAAAAATTATGCACAGAATAACTTTCTCCCACAGTTCCTCCTCCCACACTTTTTTTTTTAAAGGCATTTAGCCGGGCGTTGGTGGCGCATGCCTTTAATCCCAGCATTTGGGAGGCAGAGGCAGGCGGATCTCTGTGAGTTCTTGGCCAGCCTGGTCTACAGAGCGAGTTCCAGGACAGCGTCCAAAACAATACAGAGAAACTCTGTTCTCAAAAAACCAAAAAAAGAAAAGAAAAAGCATTTAAATCTATAATCTTGATTTCTTTTTGTTGAGGGAAGAGAGTGTGCTCTGTGATCTCTTTCTGAGATGATCAGACAGCTGTTTCAGCTCCATCTGTCTGTGTAACTGCCCTTTCCTCACTTTGTGAGTGTTCATGAAATTAGAGACGTAAGACACGGGAGAGCTAGAAGATGGGGAGCTAGAAGTGTCTAGACACAAAGCGGTTGCAAGTGCATTGCCCAGGAAGATCGTAAGTCTCCCTTATTTGCCCATATTCTGACAATACTCTCCTCACATGCTTGAATTGTGGTCCCTTGCATGTCCCGAGTGCCCATGGCTTGAGATTGTATTGTTGCCTTGTAGCCCTGCACTGAGCCCTCTACATTCCTACAGTGAATTTGCCTGACAATTCCCTTGACTCTTTATAGAGTAAGGAAAACTTAGTTGTACACAGATTTTAGAGCAATCTTGTGATTATAATGGATATTTTGAAATGAAAAGAAAAGCAACCTTTTTTAAACACAGAGGACTGTTGTATTTTGCATGGCTTGGTCCTGGAGACCTGACTGGAGCGGTGAGAGAATGAAGAAAGGTCAGGTATGGAGCCGCATGTACAGAAAAGCTGGGTGGGGGGGCGTGTGCAGTCTGATGGAGAGGCCCCGTAACTCAGAGGGAGAGTTATCCGTGAGCGGTGTCTGGAGTGGAGTTCATAGGCTGTAGACATTAGGAAGGAGGAAAGTTGCAGTTGGTAGTTTTTGCACACACTGGTCAGTCTGTCTACACTGTCAGTAATCACACGGCTTCACTGTTGATAATAACACTGGGACCAGAGGCTGGCTTTGTCGTCCCTCTGAGCCTCATGCGGTGTGGTGGGGTTTGAGGGGAAGAGGCTTTGCAGTTCCCATGGTTCTGAGGCATGAGGTCCTTGAGGTGTCAGTGATTCACATTTCACTAGAGACTTTGCATACTCACTTAGGGCCTCCTCAATTCCCCATAGCAGACATCTTGGACTTCAGTCTGCTTCACGTTTGAGAGATGTCACTGTGGAGAGCATTTTCATTAAGCGCTTTTTTGTTGTTTTTTCCTTTGGCAGGGTCTCACTATAACCCACACTAGTTTTCAACTCCTAGACTCAAAACCTCAGGCTTCAGCCTCCCAAGTAGCACATGTTTTTTTGTTTTGTTTTAAACCCTGGCTGTCCTGGAACTCACAGATCACCTGCCTCTGCCTTTCCATGCCGGGATTAAAGAAGTACACCACCAGCTAGCCTGACTTTATGCTTTTTTAACTGCAAAGAGTAAAACATCTTGTTAAAAGACATACTTGTTTTTACTTTATGTGTCTGAGTGGTTTGCCTGCATGTGTGTTTGTGCACCATGTCCATGCTTGGTGCTCTCAGGCCAGGAAGGGGGTTAGATCCCCTGAAACTTGAGCTACAGATGGACCTAGATCCTCTGGAAGAGTAGCCAGTGCTTTTAGACATTGAGCCATCTCTCCAGCCTCTTATTTATTTTTCTTGAGACAGGGTTTCAGTATAGCTTAATAAGCTGGCCTTAAACTTAGTCTTTCCATATCAGCCTTCCAAGTGCTAGGATCACAGGTGTATGCCTGCATTCCCAGAGTGTAAATTTTGAAAAATTTGTAATTACTGACAATTTTGAAAATGTCTTTTTTGTTTGTTTTTTGAGACAGGATTTCTCTGTGTAGCCTTGGCTATCCTGGAACTCATCCTGTAGACCAGGCTGGCCTCAAACTCACAGAGATCTGCCTGCCTCTGTCTCCCGAGTGCTGGTATTAAAGGTGTGCACTACCATCTCCTGGTGAAAATATGTCTTTTTTAAAAATAAACTTATTTTTTGTATCTGAGTGCTCTATCTGCATGTGCGCCTTTAACCAGAAGGAGGGCATCAGTTCCACTATAGATGGTTGTGAGCCACCATGTGGTTGTTGGGAATTGAACTCAGGACCTCTGGAAGAGCAGCCAGTGCTCTTAACCACTGAGCCATTTTTCTAGCCCTCAAAGTGTGTCTTTTCTAAGTTAGTTTTCTTTTGAGAAAAGTTTTGTTCTGAAATAAATACTAATTCTTGGTGAGTTTAGAAATACCTCATGTATCTTTCATCCAGTTTTCCTGATAGTAGTATCTTACATTAGAGTGACTTTATTTATTTATTTATTGTTTTTTGAGACAGGGTTTCTCTGTATTGTTTTGGAGGCTGTCCTGGAACTCGCTCTGTAGACCACGCTGGCCTCGAACTCACAGAGATCCGCCCGCTTCTGCCTCCCAGTGCTAGGATTAAAGGCATTCGCCACCAACGCCTGGCTTAGAGTGAATTTCTTTATATCCAGAAAAAATAGATCAATATAGGATAATATTAATTCCCTAAAGTTCCCTTTGTAGTCTCCAGACCTCATTCAGACACCATGTTTTGTGCAGCACTCTCTCTCTCTCTCCTTCTCTCTCTCTCCTCTCTCTCTCTCTGTTTTGTGTGTGTGTGTGTGTACTTTTGAGCATCTTTATCACATTTTGGCCAAAGCAAGTAACATAAGACCAAAGTCAATGAACAGTGTAATACAGGTTCCCTTTAGAGTTAGGAAAGTCAATGGAGGTAAGTAGGGTTCACTTACATGTAGTTCAGGGTGTGAGATGAATAATTATAGCGGTATGAAAGTTTACCAGATGCTTGTGATTAAGGAGAAAGAAGGACTGTTGATAAAAGGTGGTCTTTGTTTCTTAGAGACAGGGTTTGTCTGTGTAGCTTTGGTGCCTGTCGTGGAACTCTGTAGACCAGGCTGGCCTCAAACTCAGAGATCCGCCTGGCTCTGCCTCCTGAGTGCTGGGATTAAAGGCTCTGAAAGGTGGTCTTTTTTTTTTTAAGATTTTATTTTTATTTATTATGTATACAACACTCTGCTTCCATGTATGGCTTGCAGGCCAGAAGAGGGCACCAGATCTCATTACAGATGGTTGTGAGCCACCATGTGGTTACTGGGAATTGAACTCAGGACCTCTGGAAGAGCAGCCAGTGCTCTTAACCTCTGAGCCATCTCTCCAGCCCCCGAAAGGTGGTCTTTTAAGGGCCCCTGAGAAAAGTATGAAAATATAGTGCAGGTGAAGTGCTTGTGGTGCTGTGATCTGACAGAGGGCCTAGTGAAGGACAAGTCTTGAGTTAGTTCCATGAGTCAGGATACTTCGGTCATTGTTTTTAGTCATCTGCACATGTGAACAAATGGCCAGGCTTTAAGTAGTTATTTTACTAGAAAGGTATTGCCAAAGGACAGAGTAAGAGTTGAGAATGTAGGGAATGGATTAGCCCTGTGCTCTAGAGTAACAGAGAGGAACATGAGGGAGCCTGAATGTACCTAGAGGTTACCTGGCAGGAGGAGGAGGAGGGATTGGAGTTCAGGGTGTCACTTTCATGTGATGACCAAGTCCAGCAAGGATTTCCTGTTTTAGCTTGAGGAGTGGGAGTATAAGTTAGTGGTATTGGAGAATTGCGGAACTATTGGGTAGGTATCCCACACTGCAATAGCTAACATGATATTTTCTTGTTCCCCACTAGACAAGTGTGATCTGTGCCTGTTTTACTCACTGTAGTTTTTCTAGTGTTTTGCCAGTGTATTTGACCACTTAATTTATTGAGTAGACAGGAAGAGAAAGAACTTGGTGTTGACAGGAGGAAGGTGGCCCAGAGGCTGACATTGCCTGGATCAGGACCCCGTAGGTTGGTGGGTTCGAATGCTGCAGCATATTGGCTTTGCACAGAGGCAGCACTAATGCTGGCTTCTCACTGGAAGCCCAACTTGGATTGCTGCCTTGCACCCACTCATGTGATTTCTTCAAACATTTAGGGTGTCTTACAATGTGTATTCTTGGGTTCAAAGGCCTAAGAAACATGACTTAAAAGTTGTCTTTAAAAGTAAGGGCAGTATTTTGATTAAAACAGTGAGAATGCACCTAGATTTGGGGTGAGATAAAATAAAATCTACCTACCTCTTGATAGGAGTGCCCTAGAATTTATATTACCTTACCGTACTGATCCCAGAGTTCAACACCAGCAAAATCCAGAGACCTTTGTGTATCTCAAAGATTTAAGCCTTTACACTGCTAAATGCCTATGACAGTCTTGAATTCGACTCTTAAGTGTGTGGCCCTCCCTTATGTCACCTTTATTAAGTCATTGACTTGGGATGTAGCATAGTTGTGATACTGAGGAGCAGCCCCTGGGCTTAGAAACTCTTGTGGATACTGTGTGTGAACGGTTTGAGGAGGCCTCTTCTGATTACATAGGTGTTTACTTGAAGGTAATGAGATGTGAGCAGTGTCAGCAACTTCTCCATGTTTGGCAACATGTATATGAACTTTCCTACTGAAATAATTGTGGGTGATTTTTTTCTTGGGTCTTGACTACATTTTCCTGGCTGCCCTTGAACTCAGAGACTGCCTGCCTCTGCCTCCCAAGTGCTGAGATGAAAGGTGTGCACTACCATGCCTGGCAGACTGATAGATTAAAAGTGTGGGTAGTCAGGATATACAAAGATTAGTAGTAATGAAAAATTTTAAATTGTACTTGGTGACCATGTATCCATTGAGACATTAAGTGGTGTGTAAATTGTGCTGGGCATGAACACACATTTTAATTTCTGCACACTGGAGAAGAGGCAGATGCATCTCTGTGAGATAACAAGTTCCAGGCCAGCTGGAGCTACATAGTGAGATGCTCTTTCCATAGAGAAAGAGAAAGAAAGGGAATCTTGTTACTGTAAAAAAAAAAAAAATCAGCATTTACTATATGAGCAGCTTCATTGATAACTTTTTGGGGGGATGAATGGGTGCAAGGGACAATCCATATACCTTATACATATATGGCAAGCCAGTGATAGTACTTCTGATGAAAAATTCTTTTGTGGAGTCTAGAACTGAAGAGTCCCTTCTTCAGCCTCTGGAGTGCTAAGGATTCCTTCTAGGCTTGTGGCTCCACACAGTAGTCCCATGTTGCCTCTGGCCTGATGCTTGGTAACATTTTCAGTCATTGTGGTCTTTGCTGATGCTTGATTAACTGGGCAAGATGATAGGATCCTGTGTCTGCATTTCTAATAAGGGATTCTAGGATCAGGCACATTTAGGAAATAATGCACAATAGTGCAAAATTGAGTAAAAGCTGCAGCAGAAAATGGTATTGTTATACCCAACTTTGCAAAGTATTTTTTATTGAAAACTCTAGATTTCCATTTTCATTTTCCTTTTACCCTCTTGTGCAGTTTGACAGGAGAAATGAAATGATCATGTTCACATTTTTTTTTTCACCAAGAGCAAAGGTACATGCTAGGTGTTGATTGTAAACTGTGTTAAAATCACACTGAAGATGGCTTTATCTGAAAAGTTTGTTCTGAGGCTTAAATGGATGTGCAAGCACTTGGATTTGAAAGAAATGTATGTATGTTATTTTTTTTAGGGTACCGCTGAGTTTGGTTGCCTATAGGACGTGTTATACTTTAAACACAAATGATCATTCCTAGTAGGGCACAAATGAAGTATCTAATCAAGAGACCAACATTACTGTTGGGTACACATTTACTTTCCTGACTAATCTTTTTAAAAATTAAAGTACACGTTGGTGGAGCACGCCTTGGGAGGCAGAGACAGGTGGATGGAGTTTGAGGCCAGCCTGGTCTACAGAACGAGAAACTATCGAAAAACAAAACAAACAAACAAAAAATTAAAGTACACGACTTCGTATTCTTTGATGTATCTTTCAAAGGAAAACCAAGTAACAATATAACTTTTCCTAGTCATTTTAAAAATCCCAGGGCTGTAGTTTATACAGTGGCATATGGAATTTCAAAGGCAATATTTAAAAACTAACCAGTCAGACCCTAGTCCCAGAGTCTTATTTCATCATTAGTCCTGTGTTCATCTCTTCAAGAGATAGCATGATGCCTTCAGGCTGAAGACTCCTGCCTTACGTCGTGGATCACAGAAGTTTGTGGGAAGTCTGGAATTTCCTAGACATTTTGATAATTAGAACAGCAACTTTGAATTGAGTCCATGGGGAACAAAGTTCCATGGCGCTGAGAGGTGGAGTGTCCTAGGTTAGTGACGTGGAGCATATGGCCTTCAGGGGAGAGAGTGAGTGTCAGATGGCTGCTTTGGAACGAGATAACAGTGAACAACATTTTTGCAACATGAGACAGTTTTTCATTTTAACTCCAGCCTTAAAGCCTACAGGTGTCTTCATCTCAGCTTTTGTAGTATCCCGAAACAGAGTGTAGGGATGAAGCAGCCATGACTGTTAGTACAATGCCTTGTTTTTCAGTTTAAAATACCATATGAGTGGTTTGAGTTGATTAAGTTGAATGTATTTAATGATCTTTTCCTCCCAAAACACCTGCATTTTTGACATTTTATTTTTGTAGTAAATGGAAACGAGGGCAGAATGAACTTTCTAGGTAGTATGCATAGTCCTTGAAGAAGAAGATAAGATGTATTAATGTCTTGTGTATATCATCAGAGTGGAGGAGATTTTAATGTATCCAAAAAAATTTCCAGTTGTAGGGTAGTCTCACCTAATTAGTGGTCTTAAGGTTTTATTTAAGACACTGTGCCCTGAGTAAAGAAGAAATCAGTTAAAAAAAATGCTTCAATTTTCCTTAGCAGTTGGATTTGCAGTTTTGTTGCTGTAAAATTGAACATAAGTTATTGTGTTATTCAGTAAATTCCTTGGTAGTGCCCAGTCTAAATACTCATACAGGACTGTTATTTCTTCTCACCGTCAGGTGTAAAGATTTCTCTCTGTGTTACTGGAATCCCTATTGGATGCTGCCCTCTGATGTTTGTGGAATGAACTGCTTTTGGGAAGCGGCTCTTAGGTAGGCCCTTAATATTTAATTGGTAGATCAGAGTAGGTAAAATTAGATAGTAGATAATCAAACCTTTCACTGTAATAAAGCATAAGTGTTTCTTTTCCTGAAATTCAATGTCATATAACTAAATGATTGATATTCTGGTTGGGTTTTCTATCCCTTTATCTCATATTTTAGTTATTACTAATTTTAATACATATTTATGTATTAAATCTTCTAAAACTTTCTAAACTGTAAAATTTTCTAAACTGTAAAATTTTCTAAACTGTAAATTTTAGGGAAATTTATAATTGAACTTTGATAATAGATTGATGAGTAGCTATGATCTAGTTTTCTTTCTGTTGCTATGATAAAATATTCTGACTAAATGCAGCTTGGGAGGAAAGGGTTTGCTTGGTTTACACTTCCAGGTCACAGTGCATTCCTGAGGGAAGTCAGGGGAGGAACTGAAGGCAGGAACCATGGAGGAAAGCTGTTTGCTGGCTTGTTTTCTGACTTGCTCAGCTCCCCTTCTTAAAGATCCCAAGCCCACCTATCTCAGGATGCTACTGCCCACAGTGGGCTGGAATCTACATCAATCATTTAAGAAAGGCTCTCACAAACATGCCCGAGTTCCATTCTGATCTAAGTAGCTCTTCTCTCAGATAACTCTTAAGTGGTGTCAAGTTGACAATCAGATTTATGTAAGACATGATGACAAAAGGTTTCAACTAGACATTTACAGATAACATGCAAATTCTGTATGTATGTATGTGTGTATGCATTTCCTAGTTTAAAGGTGGGGGCTTTGATACTAGGTATTAAGTGCCCAGTATTTTTAAATACTGACACTGATGAGATGGTTCACCTGGTAATGACACTTGCTGCCAAGCCTACCACTGAGCGGAGGAAGATAAGTGATTCCTGCAGATGATCCCTAGGCCTCCATGTGTATACTATGTGTGTACACCCACCCCAAACAAGTAAAATGTAATAAAACCAAAAAGCTGGTATACTAAAAACATGTTATAGGGGCTGTGACAGCTAAGGAAAGATTATGTTAGCGGTAGCCTAGAGGTCTGTGGGGATGAGGAGGATAAGAACATCCTTCCTGGAGGAGTAAAACAAAAGTCATCATTTATTGACCTTTTAAGTCACTGTGTGAGGAAGACGCTGTTGGACTGGAGCCTGTGCTGCTCTTGCCTTCAGGGAAAGAATCATATTGGTAGGAGTGGGGTAAGGCAGTCACTCTCCTGAGACAGTAGTGGCAGAGAATGTGGGAACAACCTGCCCTGCCCTTTTCAGGAGAAAAAATGTTTGAGGCTCATCTGTTTTTATGGTATCTTTATAGTTAATTTAAATTCTCACTGTTTGCCAGTGACCATGCTGGTTACAAAAAAAAAATTAAAATATACTTGCATCATTTCTACTCTCTATACTACTGCTCCTGTCTGCCCTCTGCTCCAGTTCAAATGTGTGGTCTTCCTTCCTTCCTTCCTTCCTTCCTTCCTTCCTTCCTTCCTTCCTTCCTTCCTTCCTTCCTTCCTTCCTTCCTTCATCCCTCCCTCCCTTCCTTCCTTCCTTCCTTCATCCCTCCCTCCCTCCCTCCCTCCCTCCCTCCCTTCCTTCCTTCCAACTCCCTCCCTCCCTTCTTTCCTTTCTTCTTCCTTTTCCTCCCTCCGTCCCCCTCTCCCTGTATATGTGTACACCCTGATGAGTCCACTGAGTAGCTTGTATGCATATGTTTACAGTAGGGACTACTTAGTGCTGGAGTACAAACTAGAAGGCTCATCTCTGGGGAAGACTTAATTGTTTCCCTTTCAACAGTTATTCATTGCCTGTAATACAAGCTGCATTCTTAATATTTATAATAGTATACATAAAGTCTCAAATTCTCAATTATGCATCCTATAAGCAAATGGGAAGTGTTAGTTGCTATCAGACACACACACATTCTCTCTCTCCCTCCACCTTCCTCCCCCCTCTCTCCCCTCTCTCTGTATTATGAATTTCCATGTGTCAGTCCCAGGCTGATATTTGGCTTATAGGCTCACGTAATCGTCATGTTTCAGCCTTTCAAGTAGCTTAAGTCTATAGGTATGTACAACTACACTGGGCTCTTAAATTTGAGATCTTAAATCATACCCCTCTTTTACACTTCCTGCTTATATAATACTATACCATGTGAATACAAAAATAGAAACCATTTTTCAGTATGTATCATATAATTCTCTAAAATATCTTAAACTTGGTTTCTTTTTTCTTTCTCTTTCTATATATATATATATATATATATATATATATTTTTTTTTTAAATGTATACAAGTATGCCTAGTGCTCACAAAGGTCCTTGAGAGGAGCTTGGGCACCGAGTTCGGAAAGAACTCCACACTGATGGCAATTGCCTAAAGTGAGTCATTCCTCACACAGTTTAGAGGCTCCCCTTCTCTCTTACCTTCATTTCCTGTTGCTATGATAAAATACCCGTACATAAGCTATTTAAAGGGGAATGGGCTTATTTGGCTTCCAAATTTCAGGTTATAATCTATTGTTTTGGGAGGTCAGGATGGCAGAAACTTGTCGCACACCTAGTCAAGGACAGACAGCAGCGAATTAATTTGTTATGCTAGTGCTTGGCTTGTTCTCACCTTCTTTCTTACTGAGCTTGGGACCCCCTGCCCACCGCAGTTAATGAATTGGTGCTGCCCAGATCAGGTCAGTAAACTCAGTTAAGAAACTCACAGGGCATGCCCACAGGCCAGCCTACCCTAGACAGTTTGTCCACACTAAGACTTCCTTCCCTTTTCATTGTATGTCATGTCAGAATGACAGTCAAAATCAACCATTACAATTCAGACAGCATTCTATCAGTAGCTCATGACAGTAATTTTAGCTGTCCCTAAAATTACTTGAGGGATGGTTGGAAGGATCTTTGATGAAACTAAAGCTGGGTAGGAAGCCTGTCAGAGGGAGCCCACAGCACAGTTAACACCTGGTAGTCCAGGACTCCTCTCTGAATGACTAGACCCCTTTGTGAGTGCTCTGAGGGATCCTGCTGGGCCTAGCTCTCGCTTAAGGCCATTTGTGAAGTGTCCCTTTCCTCACAGGCCACAAGTGCTGTGCTTCCTGCTTAAGTTACGTTTTACTGAATTATAGGAGCCTGCCATGTGCTTCGACTTATCTACAGATTCTTTCTTGCCATGTGGGAAAGTAGATGTGATTTCAAAATTCTCTTTGGGTGAAATTTCCTATCTCAGCACATTTTAACAGACCGTGATGAAGAGCCTAATGTTCATTCGGACCAGAATCTCTGGAATGACTGTGTCCCCCTGAATGTTTCGGAGGCTTTAGTCACCAATTTCTTCAGTCTAGCAGCTTAACTTAGATTTCTTGGAACCCTCTGCAGTTGTTCTTTCTGTCCTTGGTGTTGAGGGATCAGCTGGTGGGTAGAGATGTCTTCAGTGCATATGTTTCATCTTGTTGCTTGGGTATTGGAGTCTGCAATATGCTGTAGGAGGGAGAGCATGTCATAGAACTAGCAGATACACAGCAAGGCTGTCCTTACTAACATGCTTGGGGGGGTTGAATTGACTGTTTTTATTTTTGCTTTGTTGTTGTTTTTCAGTCAGGATCTCACAGAGCCGAGGCTGGCCTCAAACTTTCTATATAGCTAAGAGGGACTCTGGACTCCTGATCCATCTGCCTCCATCCCAAGACCTGGTATTACAGTCATGATTGGCCCTTGAGGTTTTTAGGAAGATTTTTTTTTCTTCTTGAGGAACACTTTGCTTTTCTTCTAAGGTATAGAGTATTTCCTGACATTGTCTGCAGAGAGTTTTGTTATAGAACAACATGCGACTTTCACAGGTCAGTGAATAGCTGCCCTTGACTTCTGACTTTGGGGTGTACTCTCTACTTGTTGAACAGTTAAGCAACCTGAACCTGTTGAAGATTCTCAAATTGTGCTTTTTTTTTTTTTCTGAGACGATCTTGTTACGGAGCCAGGCTGGATCCTCTTAGCTCTGCCTTCCGAGGGCTGAAATTATTGGCTTATACCACCTTGCTTGGTTGTGATGTTTTCATTTTCTTAGACTTATTTTATGTGTGTGAATCTTTTGCCTGCATATATGTCTGGTACCACATGCATGCCAGGTGCCTGCCAAAGTCAGAACAGGATATCAGGTCCCCTGGCACTGATGGTTGTGAGCCACCTTTTGGACAGTGACAGTGGAGACCATGTAGGAAACCAGACATCCTGGGTGGCCTATTAAAAATACTAACCTAGCCCGGCGTTGGTGGCACACACCTTTAATCCCAGCACTTGGGAGGCAGAGGCAGGTGGATCTCTGTGAGTTTGAGTCCAGCCTGGTCTACTGAGCAAGTTCCAGGACTGGCTCCAAAATAATACAGAGAAATCCTGCCTTGAAAAAACCAAAACCAAAACCAAAAAACCCTAAAAATCCAAAGGTAGAATCTTACCTTGACTGGTGACACAGGCCTCTGCCTCTAAGTGCTTGAGAGGTTAGGAAGGAAGATTGCCAACTCCAGCATCTGCTTGGTTCTTTGCAAGAGCAACATGTGCTCCTAACCATGGACCCAACTCAACTCCCCAGATCTCGCCTGACGTCCTAATGAAGACTTTTAAAAACCACTGTGAGAAGTAGGATCTGAATGCAGTTAACAGGAAGATGAGATAGAATTCTCTAGAATTGTATGCCTCATTTGTCTTTGCTGTGTTCTGTGGCTTCTGCTATTTTGAGATGAACCATGTTTCCTGTCGTAGTGTAAGTGGCACCCACACAGTTCCCATGTTAGGAAATGAAGGGATTCACAGATAGGAGCGCAAGGGATTAAGGGAACAGATGGGGAGAAGGCACCAGGTCTGTCCAGTGTGTGTGTGTGTGTGTGTGTGTGTGTGTGTGTGTGTGCGCGCGCGCGCGCGTGCGAGAAGCGCTTTGAGAAGATTGAGGGAGGAAAGGGCTCCCCAGCCTGAACACCAGTTCTCCATTAGGAGTGAGTTCCTGCCTAGGCAGGAAGGGGAACTGAAGAGATCTTTTCTTCCAAAAAAGACATATCAGTGTGTGCAAGCGCCTTTCAGAAATTGTTTACACATCTTGGTGAGTACTTGGTAAGTGGAACTGAATTTGTGCCACTGAAAAATGTTACACAAACCAATTTCTTGTGATCAGCCTAAGACAGGATGTAATATTGCAGTATTTATGAATGAAATTGTGACTTACTTGCTTCATAGGGATCTGATTGTGGGTTGGAGGAGGCATGTTGAAGGGGTTTTAAGTGGAATTGAAATAACTTTCACTGAAAAACTATAGTTTTAAAATACTTGAGTGTAAGACCTTCAGATTACTTAGGCTTCCTTTTTTGACACCCCGTGTGAATGATGAGTAAAGTTAGTTATGTGTGTTGCTGTGGAAAACTGGTTGAGAGGATAGGTGCATATGATTGAATCAGCATTGTAGCTTGATACTTCTTTTTCATTTTAAAAAGAAGTTGCAAACTTCTGTTTTTAAACATGGCAAAAATACCGTTTAGTAGTAAATATTTGCTTAACTGTTGGAATTGTGCTTCTTTGCTGTTAGATATAGTCTGAAAACACAGCCCACTGAGAAGATGCACCTTGCCGTTGTTGCCTGTGGTGAACGACTGGAAGAAACTGTGACCATGCTGAAGTCAGCTCTCATTTTCAGTGTCAAGCCACTGCAGGTCCATATCTTTGCTGAAGACCAACTGCACAATAGCTTTAAAGACAGAGTAAGTACTTGACACAGAGTGAAGACTGCAGAGTTGGCTATCTACTACTGTATTAACTGTCTATTTGGCAGCCTTCCCTCCTAGGGAGAGTGCTTCTGAGGAGTCCAGATACATGGTAAGGAATATTGGATTTTGAACAGTAGGAAGCCTTAGGTCCTCTGCCTAGTACAAAGATTTTATGTACTTTGTTGTATCATAGTTTTTCACCTCTAAGAAGGGGCTCTTATTTTTTTCCTGGCTATAGTCAGGCCATTTTCATTATAAGACTACCACATGGCTTAAAGAGGCCATTCAAACTCCAGCCATCACAACCATATTGTATCCAATATGAGGAGAAGAAAGAGTGAGGAAGGAAAAAATGCTTTTTTCCTTTAAGGGCTCTTTGCATTAATAGTTGTGACATTTCTTCTACTTTTGGTAAGAGTTTAGTCATTTAATCATAGCTCGTTGTTAGATTTGAAAATAGACTATCCACTCAGGGCAGCCTTGTAACCTGTTTAACAACAAATGCCCATGAGGAATTAGGGGTCCATTTTAAACAGGAGACAGACAGCTCTTGTATACAAAGAAAGATGACCTGCATCTTTTTTTGGGGGGGTTTATTCTGTTCATAGTTTTATATAACAGTTCATCATCAAAAACAGTGAGGGCAGGGACAGATTCAGGGTAGGAACCTGGAGGCAGGAGCTGATACAATGGCCATAGTGGGGTGCTGCTTAGTGGCTTGTTCAGCCTGTTTTCTTATAGAACTCAGACCACCAGCCCAGGGATGGCACCACCCACAATGTGCTGAGCCCTCTCCCTCAATCATCAATTAAGAAAGATGACCTGCATCTTACCTCTCCAGCTATGTGTTCTGGGCGGTGGAGATGATACTTGTGACGTGTGTCTATCCCATCTCACCCCACTCACCTCTCTGCTAAGTCCAGCTTTCAAACTACTATGTGTGGAGGTTTGTAGTTTCTGTTCCACCCGGTCCCACAGTTGTTTACCACCAAATAAACTCACAGAGACATATTAACTGTTATAAACCGTTTGGCCAATGGCTCAGGCTTCTTATTGGATAGCTCTCTTTTAATTATTAACCCATTTTTATTAATCTAAATATTTCCATGTGGTCTTATCTTACCGGAGAATGCCCGAACCTGTTTCTCCTTCAGCAGCTACATAGAGTCTCTCTGGTGGTTCCTCTCTGGTCTCCCCCCCCCCCCCCCCCCAGAATTCTCCTTGTCTGGTAGCCCCACCTATACTTTCCTTCTGGCTATTGGCCAATAAGTGTTTTATTTATCAACCAATAAGAGAAACATACATACAGAAGGACATCTCCATCATCTTTGACATAGTAAAATTATATATAACAAAACAGTTATCAAGCAAGAACTAGAATTAAGAATATTTAGTCCATTAACATTTGGCAAAATTTAAAGAAAATATTTTACCATCTATCCTATCTGTGAGTCTATAAAGTTTTATGTGTATAGGATTTTTTGGTTGGCCTGGAATTCACTGGTTTTTTTTGGGGGGGGGGGCAGTCTGGCTGCAAGCCCTGGTTGTCCTCCTGTCTCCTGCGTGGCACTGGCTAGGGATCTGAACTTATATTCTCACTCTTTGCTTTATGGACTGATCCATCATAGTGACCCTGAACATTGACTTAAAAAAGATTCACCTGTGCCTTACATCTTGATGGTAGATTTTTAGATTTGAAATGGAAACAGAGAGTAATGGAAAAGAATTTTTTAACTGTGTAAAGTAAAATGTAGTTTTAAGTTTTAGCATTTTTGTTTGTAGCTCCTGGTTTATGATGTTTACAGAGAAGGTTGAAAGTAAGGCAAATCTACCTTGGTTTGTGTTTTTAGCTTTATTCCTTTTTATATTCTTAGCTTGACAGCTGGTCATTTCTACAAAGATTTAACTACACTTTGTACCCCATCACCTTCCCGAGTGACAGTGCTGTGGAGTGGAAGAAACTCTTTAAGCCGTGCGCTTCCCAGAGGCTGTTCTTGCCGGTGAGCTGCTTTCCTTTCTCTATTGTCAATTTGAAACTTAACTTTATACAGATGGTGTCTTAGTGAGGGTGTCTCTTGTTGGGAGGAGACACCATGACCTTGGCAACTCTTGTAAGGGAAAGCATTTAATTGCGACTGACTTACAGTTCAGAGGTTTAGTTCATTGTCATCATGGTGGCAAGCATGAGAGCATGCAGGCAGACAAGATACTGGAGAGGAAGCTCAGAATTCTACATCTGGATTGAAGGCAGCAGGAAGACAGACACTGGTCCTGGCTTGAGCATTTGAAACTCAGAGCCCACCTCCAGTGACACATTTCTTCCAACAAGGCCACACCTCCTAATAGTGCCACTCCATGGTAACCAAGCATTCAAATTTATGAGCCTATGGGGTCATTCCTATTCAAACCACCACTTGTGAATAATTACATATAAACGTTGTTAAGTAAACAAAGATACATGCCAAACATGAGAAAAAGTTTCCATAGAACAGGTCAGGACTTCAATAAAGACCTAAAATGGGAAAAGTTTGGGCCTTCGGATTTACCTCAGTGGTAGAGCTGATCCTCAACACTGAGAAACAGAGAGGGTTTTTGGTAATTTCTGTTGGAACATTTCTTACCTCTTTTCACCATGGGAAGGAATTCTGGTCAGGTCTCAGTAGGGAGCATGACCTGCAGGTGTCTGCTGCACAAACAGTTTGGAAAGTCACTGATGATTTTTTTGTCTTACACCTAGTTAGCATCTGTTTCCTAAGTGATACTTGAATCATTTCTAGAGCTGTAAGGCAGGAGAGCTCAGAGACAGTGAGAGCCATTTGCTTACTAGAGCTCTTCTTTGGTGACCTTGGGTAATAAACTACTATGTAGTAGCTGGGTGGAGTGGCACACCTGTAATCCCAGCACTTGGGAGGCAGAGGCAGTTCAAGCCCATCCTGGTCTACTGAATGAGTTCCAGGGCAGCCAGGGCTACAGAGAAACCCTGTCTCAAAAACCAGTAAACAAACAAACAAATTGCTTCATTTAAAATAAATAAATAATAAGATGCTTAGGTAATGCAGATCCTGAAGTTAAAAGTGTGAGTTCTGCCAAGAGGAGTGGTGCACACCTCTGATCCAGCATTTGGGGTAGGGGCAGGAGGGATATTTGTAGTTTCAAGAGCAGCTTGGTCTACATAAGGAAATACAGGACAGACAGAGCTATGTAATAGACCTTTTTTTTTTTTTAAAGGAAACGAAAAAGAAAAAGCCTAAGTTCATTTGAGTATTTCTTTTTTTTCTTTTTAAAATTTTTTAAAATGTAAATTAGAAACAAGCTTGCTTCACGTGTCAATCCCAGCTCCCTCTCCCTCCTCTCCTCCCCCGCCCCCCTCCACCAGTCCCCCCAGTCCCCCACCCAATGCCCACTCTGTTCCTCAGGGAGGGTGAGGCCCTCCATGGGGGAAATCTCTAGAGTCTGTCATTTTGTTTGGGGCAAGGCCTAGGCTCTCCCGCATGTATCCAGGCTGAGAGAGCATCCCTCATTGTGGGATGGGCACCCAAAGTCCATTTGTATGCCAAGGATAAATACTGATCTGCTACCCAAGGCCCCATAGATTGCCTAGGCCTCCTCACTGACACCCACATTCAGGGGGTCTGGATCAGTCCCATGGTGGTCTCTCAGCCATCAGTCTGGGGTCCAAGAGCTCCCCCCTTGTTCAGGTCAGCTGTTTCTGTGGGCTTCACTACCCCAGTCTTGATCCCTTTGCTCATCCCTCCTCCTTCTCTGTCACTGGGTTCCAGGGGTTCAGTTCAGTGTTTAGCTGTGGGTGTCTGCCTCTGTTGAGTATTTCTTTAATGTTTATTGCTTTTTATTATTTATGTATGCACATGCGTATGTGTGTGTGTACATGTGGGTACATGTGGGTGCCTTTGGAGGCCAGAAGAGGACATTGGATCCCCTGGAGCTGGAGTTCAGGTGGTTGTGAGTTGCTAGATGTAGATACTGAGAACTGAACTTGGATCCTCTGGGAGAACAGGAAGCTGTTTGGGTTTTTTGTTTGTTTTGAGATGGTCTCCTGCAACTTAGACTGGTCTCAAACTGGAGGTGATCCTCCTGCCTCAGCCTTCTGTGTGCTGGGTCACAAGGACAACTTTCACATCAGGATTCTGATGCATTGGCTTCACCAGAGGTCTTCGGGCTATTCTTAAAAAGTTTGTGTCCTCGAATCTTTATCAATTTTTCCTTCTGCTGTTAAAACACACAAATGAGGAAAAACTTAAGATGTTTTAGACTTAAACTTTTAATAGGAGCATTATTATTATTATTGTTGTTGTTGTTATTATTTTAGACAGGGTCTCAATATTAGTTCTGGTTGTTCTGGAATTCAATATGTAGACCTGGCTAGTCCTGAACTTAGGAATCTATCTGCCCTTGCCTCCTATGTGCCGGGATCGAAGATGTGTACCACTATGTCTGGCGTAATTGCAGTGTCACAGCTATTTAATATGTGAGTATGGGTAGTTTTAGCTGGTCTTCAGTCTGTATTAGAATCCCAAAGAAGTAGGCTCTAATACCAGTAAAGTAATGCCTCCATAGCAGGGTAGATGAACTTGTCAACAAGAGTGAGTGCAAGCAGGCAGAAAACAAACACTTCCTTCTGTGTCCTTTTATGTAGATTGCCACCAGAAGGTGTGGCTCAGATTTACAGTGAGTCTTCCAACCTCACATGATCTAATCAAGAAAACTCCCTCACAGGTGTGCCTAGCTGCTTGGGTTTTAGTTGATTACAGATGCAGTCAAGTGGACAGCTGAGATTAGCCATCACACAGAGCCGGCTAGAACTCTACAACAAGATTCAAAAACAAAACAAAACCCAGTAACACACCTAAAACCAATTTCCACCCCTTTCTGATGGTGGGGAGACACAACCTTGCTTAACTCCTTTAACTGGAGGGGGAAGGAGGCCTTCCCCATTCAGGCTCAGCCATCACTATCAGGTATTTTCCCTGCTACTAAATTAACCGACAGCCGACTTCTCAGCATATCTTCTCAGAGAGGCAATGTCTCAGCTCTGTTGCAGGAAAGGTAACAGATTTACAGAGTAGCAGAATGAGGATCCAGTCTAGTTCTCATTGTGTCTTAACTAAAATGTTTCAGGCACATCCAGCCAGCTGCCCAGCTATAGGAACAGGGGTTAACTATGAACACAGCCATTACAAAGTTGTAAACTTACTTATTCCAGCCCTGCCACCCACAGGGGAAAACTGTGAATACAGCCATTACAAAGTTGTAAACTTGCATAGAACATTATGAGACTATTTCTTTTACTTTGGTGAAAGTGTGAACTTTGTGGTTGATGTCATGTTGCAGATGCCAAAAGGTTGGGCACCCCTGCTAGGTCAACCTAATCATTGAGTTTTGTAGATATACCAGGATAGGGAACAAATTTAATTTTGAAAGAGTCATATTTTAAAAGTTTATAAGGAAAAATGAAAACTTATCTTTGAAAAATTTACAATTTTTAGAAGTGCAACAGAATCAATCTCAGTTTTAAAATAAAAGTCTGCTTCCTATCCTTGTTCTTCCTAAGTGTGTGGTTTTGATATGTTGATGGTGCATACAGAAATGAGCATAGACTGGAACAGATAGCGTGGGCTCAGTTTATCTTTGCATTTAAGAGTGGGTACTAAGTGATGATGCAGGGGTACTAAGTAATGATGCAGGGGTACTGAGTGATGATGCAGGGGTACTAAGTGGTGATGCAGGGGTACTGAGTGATGATGCAGGGGTACTGAGTGATGATGCAGGGGTACTAAGTGATGATGCAGGGGTACTAAGTGGTGATGCAGGGGTACTAAGTGGTGAAGCAGGGTTACTGAGTGATGATGCAGGGGTACTGAGTAATGATGCAGGGGTACTAAGTGATGATGCAGGGGTACTAAGTGGTGATGCAGTCAGGCGGAGGGAGTGGGTCTGGGAGACCCTCATTTATGTCTCTTTGTGTCTGTATTTACCTAGTGTATGAATCCACCTTAAGTTAGTGCACTTTGTATCTTGAAAATCAGTTTTTCCTGACCTTTCATATTTTTTTCTCACTGTAAGTGTTGAGGTTTTTATTAGGGTTTGTTTTTCTAGTTTTTCTAAAAATTTGTGGAAAAATTTACAAAGTATTTTTTTTTGTCAAAAATGTCAAATTTCAAAAAATTACCTTAAAAGCATTGTAAATTGACTTATTTCTTAGGTGTAATTTCTGTTACTATGCTATTATTAAGTAGATGTATTTATAACTAATTGTTTAAATATCTTTCCTCATAGTTAATCCTGAAAGAAGTTGATTCACTGCTATACGTTGACACTGATATTCTTTTCCTACGACCTGTCGATGATATTTGGTCATTACTAAAGAAATTTAATTCCACACAAATCGCTGCGATGGCTCCAGAGCATGAGGAGCCTCGAATAGGATGGTATAATCGTTTTGCTCGGCACCCGTACTATGGGAAGACGGGGGTGAACTCTGGAGTGATGCTGATGAACATGACACGGATGAGAAGGAAGTACTTTAAGGTAACTTGATGTAGGCGGTTGATTGCCGCTTCCCTTTCTCCTTTTGTTTTTGTTAAGACCTAAACTGAATAAGGGCTGGAGAGATGCTGTGACTAAGAACTCTTAGACAGTGACGAGCATCCACATTAGGCAGCTCACTACTGCCTGTAACACCAGCTCCAGGGGATCTGAGCCCCTCTTCTGGCTTCTGCAGGCACACACAAAGCAAATCTTTAAAAAAAATACATAGATTTGATACTGGAGAGATGGTACAGTTGTTAAGTATACCTACTACTGTCGCAGAGAACCCAAATTCTGTCCCCAGCATCTGTGGCTGGCAGCTCACAACTTTAAGTCCATTTCCAGAGGATCTGATGCCTTTTCTGGTCTCCAAGGGCACTGAACACTCACATGATAAATATATATATATTTTGTAAGCAAAACACATAAAATAAAAAGGAATATGTTGCCAGGCAGTGGTGGTGCACATCTTTAATCCCAGCACTCAGGAGGTAGAGAGAGGGAGGCGGATCTCTGTGAGTTCAAATCCAGCCTAATCTACAAAGCAAGTTCCAGGACAACTAGGGCTACACAGAGAGACCCTATCTCGAAAAACCAGAAAAAAGAAAAAGAAAAAGAATATGGTATGTATGTGGTATTTATGTGTGGTGTATCTTCAGATGTAGTGGTGCACACCTTTATTCCTAGTGCTAAGGAGACAGACAGGTCTCTTTGCCAGAGCTACATAGTTGAGAGACAATATGTATATATAGTAGAATTTTAAATATATACACACATTTTATATATATATATATATATATGAGATGGAGGGTGAGATATTAAACTTTTTAAAATTTTTCTATTTAGGATAATTGGATAAAAATGTGTTCATAATGTTCTTTAGTGGCAAATTCAAGTAGGTCTCATCAGATGGTATTTCTCATGATGAAGTAAGTAAAATAGTGATTGCCTTCTAGACTGTCATTGCAGGAAGCTGTCATCAATTTATGGTTGTATAGCGTAGAGACTTGAATCTAAAGTGACATTTGGGGCAGGGTTTGGTTATCAGCATTGATTCTGCAGCCTGTCAGTCTGGCTCTAACTTTGGCACATAGTTCCTGGAGTGAGTTTTGACTATCTCAGGGTCTTCCTCATCTGTACGACGGGATGATAATAACATACCTCTGCTTTAGGCCTTCCTGTGAGGGTTAAGTGGCTTGAAACAGTTGCTGATGACCTCTTGCACTGGACCTGGGTTTGCTTCCCAACATTCACATTTGGAGGCTTACAACTGCCTGTTAACTCCAGTTCCAGTTGCACCAGTAACTGCATCAACAAGGAACACATACTTACTTGGACACATACATACAACAAAAAAAAAAAAAAAAAAGAAAAAGAAGAAAAAAAACCCCACAAAGTTCAGTATACAGCATGACACCTAGTAAGCAAAAATTTTAATATTAGGTGAAACTAATTACAAACAGGAACTTCTGAGAAAACACAGGCTTTCCCTCCAATGCTTACTCTGTTTTATCTAATTAGGAGTAAATTAGGGTTATGGGAGTCAATATGTATTTTTCAAATATTTTCCTGTGGCTTCTGGCAGATAAGAATTTACATTGTTATTTTGTTTTTCCCTCCTACGAATCTGTTTAAATCTTTATGCCCTGTAGACTTTTTTGTTGTTGTTGTTGTTGTTTTGTTTTGAGCCAGGGTCTCTCTGTTCTCCTGGCTATTCTGGAACTTGCCTCTGCCTCCCATATGTTGGGGTGAAAGTTATGTACCACCACGTCCCTGTCAGTTTTTTCCTAAGTGTGGGCAGGGTACTACTGGTTGGTGTCACCACTGTATTCCAGCCTTTCCATCTTAGAAACCTGTAGTGTATATCACACTTTATATTCTATTTAGCTGGTAAAGTTTTCTTTTTAGCTTTCCGTTTTTGGAGTCTTTACAAAGATACTGATTTTTAAATTCAGTTTGTCCCCTAGAACTGAATGAATACAACCAGTGCTCTGTTCTCTAGAGGAACAGAACTGATAGAACGGAAAACAAAGCCCTGTATTTTCATTTTATGTATAATACATACATACATACATATATACATACATACATGGTATTTATTGGAATATTTTACAGGATATGTTCCTGCAAGTCCAACGTGGCTGGCTTCCCCCAGAAGGCTACATGTGTCTGGTTTTCATTGTGTGTTGGAATCCTTAAGACGCAGGCCCTGATGCCAGTGAAGGAATGAACTTGCCATCAAGAGTCAGAGCAGGCAGGCAAAAGGCAAAGAGCTTCCTTCCGCAATGTCCTTTATTTAGGCTGCCAGCAGAAGCTGTGGCCCAGTTAAAAGGTGGATCTTCCCACCTCAAAGTGTAATACGAAAAAAAAAATGACCCAGAGACTGATATTGGGGTTCACACTTTGAAGCTGAATACCAGCTCTCCCCTCTAGCTCAGGCTGAAAGGGCTGATCCACGCACAAGCTCATCACCAAGTCTCAAACTGCTGCCTCTCCTCAGTGTGGCTGGAGAATGAACGCCTCTCTGAGACCTTGCTTCTGTCTTAATATGCTTCCCTAATGTTGGGATTAAAGGTGTGAGCTATGATTCTCTTTTGGATTGATTCACTCTTGTATCGCTCTGGGTGGCCTTGGACTCACAGAGATCCATCTGAGTCCTAGGATTAGAGATGTGTACCATCACCTCCTAGCTTCTGGCTGTTGGGATTAAAGGTGTGTGTCTGGCTTCTATGGTTTGTGGCTGACTTTGCTTTCTGAATCTTCAGGCAAGCTTTAATAAATCATAAATAATATATTACTACACAAAAGATCCCATTAAAAGGCAGGTCTTCCCACTTCAAATGATTTAATTAGGAACACTTCCTCACAGGTGTACTTAGCTGCTTGGGTTTTAGTTAATTCCAGGTGTAGTTAAGTTGACACGAAGAATGGGCCATCACGGCCAGCATCTTCTCTTGCTCAACAATGAACATTTTGTTTAGTTTACACTTATGCTTTGAATACTTACTTTTCATGAACCTTAAAGCTTTCCTATGTGGAGCCAGCAAACATCACGATTGCCGTTCCAAGTGTTAGCCTGTGCTTGGTAATGTCATGCCAGAAGATGGTGCTGTAAGATTATCTGCTAAGAATTATGGGACTTCTCATGGCTGCATTTGATCCTCGTAGGATTTAGTATTGCAAAAAAAGAGAAAAAAAACAAAAAAAAACTGTAAATAATTTAACACTTTGATTTTTAAAATTGGGCTATACAGTTCAAGTTCATTACTGCTCTTAGTTTATCGTTTATTTACTTAAAGTTAACTGTCAACCGCCTGAGTAGATCCGGCCTCACTCTTTCCCTTTCTCTTTCTGGTGTGTCTTCAGCCAGATAGAGATGTGGATATGGGGGATTAAATGATTTCTAAACTTTCAACTTTTTTTCCCTTTTTTAGACACTTATTTATATTTTTATTTATGCTTGTTCCTGACTATGAGCACACCATGTTTGTATAGGTCAGAAGGCTCTCAGGTCCCCTTGGGCTAGAGTTGTAGGTAGTTGTAAGCTGCTGGGAAGTGAACTCCAGTCCTCTGTATGACAGACAGCAAGTGCTCTTATCTGCTCAGCCGTCCCTCCAGCCTGATGAAGTGTTTTTGTTGTGTGCACTAATGGCTTAACAAAGAAGGAGAGGAGTGGATTGACCATGTGAGGCTGAGTGGATAGGATTGACTGCATTCACTGTGAGTGTTCACACAGCTCTGTCCCACTGAGGACACAATCCCATCGTTCTTCAGTACTGTGCATGAGCTTGCTCAGGTGGTCCTATAGAACCTACTGAGTTTTAAAATATATTTCCTCATGTATATTTTTCTACATAGTTTTTTTTTTTTTTTTTTTTTTGGTTTTTCAAGACAGGGTTTCTCTGTATTGTTTTGGAGGCTGTCCTGGAACTTACTCTGTAGACCAGGCTGGCCTCGAACTCACAGAGATCTGCCTGCCTCTGTCTCCCGAGTGCTGGGATTAAAGGCGTGCGCCACCAACGCCCGGCTCATAGTTTTTTTTTGTCTGTCTGTGACAAGTATTGCCTTGGTTTTCCCTGTTCAGTAACTTTGGGCACAGATCATACATTTTAGATCTTTATCATTTGACTTATAGTCACTTTCCAGATTGTCCCATACAAATCCATGAATGCAGAATCATGATTATTACAGTGCCTGTTTGTAGTAAAGTCCATATTTAAATTGTTTGTGTGGCTGACACCCTGTTCTTCCCATTGTGATTGAGAAGTTTCAATCTGCTACATTATAGTAACATTTAAAAATTAAAACAGGCCTGGCGGTGGTGTACATACCTTTAATCTCAGCACTCGGGAGGCAGAGGTAGGCGGATCTCTGTGAGTTCGAGACCAGCCTGGTCTATAGAGCGAGTTCCAGGACAGCCTCCAAAGCCACAGAGGAAACCCTGTCTCGCACAACACCCCCTCCAACCCCCAACCTCCTACCCCTTCCACCCCCCCCCAAATTAAAACAGTAAAAATGCTTTTTTGTTCTTTGTATCTCTCCCTGCTTGGTAAGCAGTGATACTGTGTTGGTTAAGCTGTTAATATATATTTGGATTTTGTGTCCTGATGATATTTGCAATGTTGAATCTTTGTTTTTCTTACATGTGTATGTATGTGTGATATATGTATATGTTATATGTTTGCATATGTGCATGTACCTTTATGCAAAGACATAAAAGTTGATGTTGAGTGTCTTTCTGGGAGCTCACTAGAACTCTATGGCTAGACTTCCTTGCCCCATGGGTTCTATGCCTCCCAAGTGCTGGGATTACAGGTAGCTGCTACGCCTGCCTGGCTTTTGTCTGCCTCCTGGGGATGTAAAATCTAGTCTTTATACTTGTGTGACAAGCAAATATTACCTACTAAGCCATCTACCCAGTACTTTCTCTTTTTGGTTATATTAATGACTGAGACATCTCTCCAGCCTTTTTCTTTTTTGAGACAGGGTCTCTGTATGGCTTTATGTAGCTTAGGGGTGGCCTCAGATTTCCAATAATAATCCTGCCTCAACTTCCCAAGTCCTGGGATTACAGGTGTGCATCATCACACTCAGATCTTTCCTTTCTTAGAAAATGAGCATATTAGAAAATAAATTTTAAATTAGGATCTGAGTTCTTTTCTTTTATGTACTCTGTATTGTACTATGTGTTATATTGTGGAAGGTGTTTTGATCTTTTTTTCTACCTAATGAGTGCAAGGTTTATCTTTTGTTTTATTGGGAACTTTTTCTGGGGAGATAAATGTCCTCCTCTTTCTTAAAATGACTCTGATGACAAACCACAGCACAATGATGTCACTAAAATCAGACTTGGCGTACAAAATTTATTTGACTTACTTATGTAGCATAGTTGTAGAACTTGTTCTTTTTTTTTTTTTTTTTTTAACCAGAGAGTGGATGATTCCTAACAGTTTAACTACAAGAAAGTCTCACCCAGCATAGATGACAACTTCCTCCTAGCTACATGTGTGGGATCCCCTTTAGTTAACATTCCACCTCCTACATATGCTAGGACCTCCCAACACCACAAGATTGGGTGTAGTTAAGACAGTTATACATATATATGACTCAGAGGTAAGGGAGTGAGCAGAGGAAATCTCAGCTCAAGGGCTGATGACTGTCCTTCTGTTCTATGGTGGACAAGTGATCACAGCTACTCTGAAGATGAAGGCTTTTATGTTTAGCAGGCAGTAGGTATCCTGCTCTGTCATTCTGACATATCCCTTGAGTCAGGATCTCAGTGATCCTTGGCTAGGGTGGTGGCCGCCAAACCTAAGTGATCTTCCTGTTTCCTGCCCCTGCCCAGTACTGTGGGTGTTGCCTTTTTTACAGTGATCCTGAGGATCTGAACTAAGGTTCTCATCCTTGAGCAGCAAGTGCTCTCACATGCCGAGCTGTTTCCCCAGCTCCTTGAAAATCTTATTAATATAATTTGTAGTCATTTCTGCTTCCTGTTGTGAAATCTGCTTTAATTGTATATATATATATATATATATATATATATATATATATATATATATATATATATATTGTTTTGGAGGCTATCGGTCCAGCCCGGCCTTGAACTCACAGAGATCTGCCTGCCTCTGCCTCCCGAGTGCTGGGATTAAAGGCGTGTGCCACCACCGCCCAGCATACATATATTTTTTATGTGTGTACACACATGTGCATATTATGATGAAGACTGTGCCCTTAAAATGGACTCAGTTTAATATCTATGTGTTTGTTTTAGAGTTGGGGTTGAACCTGATGGAATGTGGTAAGAAGTACTCAGTACAGTGTCTGGTATTTGTATTGTTTTGTTTTTGTACCAGGACCACGCTTTCTTTTATAATTAAAGTTATTGGAAATTAATAAATAAAATACAATCCAAGTAAAGTTTTAACACTAAATAACTGTGCTTCCCCAGCATTTGGGAGGCGGAGAGATGGAAGAAGGCCACAAGTTTGAGACCAGCCTGGATTACATAAGCTTGTGTTCAAAAAAGAAAAAAAAATCAACAAGCTTGACAAAAATAGATTGGAGTGGGTGGGAAATAAAGAGCAAAGAAATGAAATGTAATGAATTTATTTACTTGTGGTATAATATCCCCCACAATATGAGGGGGATACATTACAAGACCCTCAGTGAATGCATCAGTGAAAGGTTGGGTTGCTATGTAATATTTTCCATGGGAGGTATGAACAGATGTCTACTTACCCCAGATAAGGCATTAGTGATGTCCTCAGCAACCTTGCCTTACCAAGTTGTGAACTTTCAAAGGTGGGTGTGATGGTACAGTTTATAATCTTAGCATTCCAGAGGCAGAGGCGGGAAGATCATGAGGTTGAGGAGAGTCTGGGACTACATAGCAAAACCTTGTGCCCTGCAAAAAAAAAAAAAAAAAAAAAAAAACCCAAAAAACAAAAACTGTCACGACCACCTCGACCAGCAAGGAAGACGCGACTCAGGAATCCTTCTCACAAGCGGTTTATTCAGGACCTTGATGAACAACGTGGAGGCAGCCACGGGAGAAACCTCTCCTGCTCCCTAAATAGCCGAGGCCAGCCAACCCTGAGCAGCCACGTGTGCGCAAGCCATAGGCTCACCAGAATGCATAAGCAATCTGATGATGATGGCATGACCCCGGTGAGATGGGAGCAGGCCAAATAAGGAGTTGTTTATCACTGAGAGCGCTCACCGGCGGGATGCTGGAAGGCGGAAGCCGGCACCATCTTTGAGGCGCGGTGTGGCGCAGCTCTCCACAAGAAACCACTTTTCATAATCCTTATTTTAAAATGAAGATGTGGTTGAGCTCTCATCCCCCTTGCCTTTCCTTGCTATCTTCGGCTTGTCTTAGTTTTGTCACTGTTTTTACCTTCTGTGCTGCCTTCCCGTCTCATCCCAGCAACCTCCTCACATTTAGGGTAATACGTGACACATGGTTTTATAGCAGTGGGGTTTTTCTTTCTCTTTGTGGCTTTGTAATGGTTTCAAAGGGAAGGATGGGGAGCTGTCGTGCTGCCTCTTAACCCTGAGTGCTAAAACTCTTCAGTGTTTTATCAACAGAATGATATGACAACTGCGAGGCTGCAATGGGGCGACATACTCATGCCACTGCTTAAGAAATACAAACTGAACATCACATGGGGTGATCAAGATCTGTTAAACATCATGTTTTTTCATAATCCAGGTAACCACCTAAATTCCTTTAATTCTTTGCGTTTGTAAAAACAGTCATGGATTAAAAATCAGAAAGCAAGAAATAGTGGTCTGGCTCATTGGGAGAGTGCTTGCTTAGTACACACAGTGCCCTCAGTTCACTTATATTAATGGTTGTCAATATTTTCTTTTGAGGCAGAATAAGACTTGAATATTAATTTGGTTGGGAGAAATCTAAATATCAAGTGTAGCGTTTTAAGCTAAAATGTTTGCAAGTGTTAGTTCTGTAAGATATTTTGTGCTTCATTTCTTTCCTGTCGTTGGGCTTTTCTTCATTGTAGAAAGCCTTTTTGTTTTTCCGTGCCAATGGAATTATCGACCAGATCACTGTATCTATGGAAGCAACTGCCGAGAAGCAGAAGAGGAAGGAGTCTTCATTCTTCATGGAAACAGAGGGGTTTACCATGACGACAAGCAGCCAGCATTCAGAGCTATGTATGAAGCACTAAGAAATGTAAGGTTTGCTCTCCTGAAGTTGTCACTTAAAATTTACAGTATTGTGAAGACTGCAAATACAGTGTGAAGAATATTTTTGTCTTTTACTATAAAGTCATCAGCTCCCGAAATTTGGCTTTGTGGTTTAGCATGGGTTTCTCTCTCTCGCTGTACATTTCTGAATGTGAATTGTATATAATATCCTTTTGATTCCTTTAAACCTGCAGTATTTTTTAGTAAGACTAAGGGTATTTCTTTTTTTTTTTAATTGCTGTAATCTTTTTTCCCCATTTTAGTTAAATTAGAAACAAGCTTGCTTCACATGTCAATCCCAGCTCCCTACCTTCCTCTCCTGCCCCCTTCAACCCTCCCCCAACCCCCACTCCACTCTCTAAGGAGGGTGAGGCCCTTCATGGAGGATCTCAAAAGTCTGTCATATGATCTGGGGCAGGGCCTAGGCCCTCCCCCATGTGTCCAGGTGGAGACAGCATCCCTCCACGTGGAATGGGCCCCCAAAGTACCTCTGGCTGCCATTTTGTTTTGTTGACTGTGTCCTTTGCTTTACAGAAGCTTCTCAGTTTCAGAAGGTCCCATTTATTAATTGTTGATCTCAGTGTCTGTGCTACTGGTGTTATGTTCAGGAATCGGTCTCCTTTACCAATTCGTTCAAGGGTACCTCCCACTTTCTCTTCTAAGAGTTTCAGTGTGGCTGGATTTATGTTGAGATCTTTGATCCAACTTAAGTTTTGTGCAAGGTGATAGATAAGGACCTATCTGCAGTCTTTTGCATGCCAATATCCAGTTATGCCACCACCATTTGTTGAAGATGCTTTCTTCATTTTCCAATGTATAATTTTAGCTTCTTTGTCAAAAATCAAGTGTTCGTAGGTATGTGGGTTAGTATCAGGGTTTTCAATTTGGTTCCACTGGTCTACCTGTCTATTTTTGTGCCAATACCAAGCTGTTTTCAGGACTACAGCTCTATAATAGAGCTTGAAGTCAGGGATGGTGATACCTCCTGAAGCTTCTTTATTGTACAGAATTGTTTTGGCTATTCTGGGTCTTTTGTTTTTTCCATATAAAATTGAGTGTTGTTCTTTCAAGATCTGTGAAGAATTGTGCCCGTATTTTGATGGGGATTGCGTTGAATCTGTAGATTGCTTCTGGCAAGATTGCCATTTTTTACTATGTTAATCCTGCCAATCCAAGAGCATGGGAGATCTTTCCATTTTCTGGTATCTTCTTTAATTTCTTTATTTAAAGACTCTAAGTTCTTGCTATACATGTCTTTCACTTGTTTGGTTAGCATTATCCCTAAATATTTTATGGTGTTTGGGGCTATTGTAAAGGATGATGTTTCTCTGATTTCTTTCTCAGCCCATTTATCATCTGTGTATAATAGGGATACTGATTTTTTTTTTTTAGTTAACCTTGTATCCTGCCACTTTGCTGAAGATGTTTATCAGCTGTAGGAGTTCCCTTGTAGAGTTTTTTGGGTTACTTATGTAAACTATCATATTATCTGCAAATAGTGAAAGTTTGATTTCTTCCTTTCTAATTTTTATCCCCTTGATCTCCTTTTCTTGTCTTATTGCTCTAGCTAGAACTTCAGGTACAATGATGAAGAGATGTGGAGAGAGAGGACAGCCTTGTCTTGTTCCTGATTTTAGAGGAATTGCATTGAGTTTCTCTCCATAGTTTGATGTTAGCTATTGGTTTACTGTATATTGCTTTTGTTATGTTCAGGTGTGTTCCTGTTATCCCTGATCTCTCCAGGACCTTTATCATGAAGGGGTGTTGGATTTTGAAAAGGCTTTTCCCGTATCAAGTGAGATGATCATGTAGTTTTTCTTTTGCAGTTTGTTTATATGGTGAATTACATTGATAGATTTTCTAATGTTGAACCATCCCTGCATCCCTGGGATGAAGTCTACAGATCATGATGGATGATTTTTCTGATGTGTTCTTGGATTTGATTTGCTAATATTTTATTGAGTATTTTTGCATCAATGTTCATGAGGGAGATTGGTCTATAGTTCTCTTTCTTAGCTGTGTCTTTGTGTGGCTTGGGTATCAAGGTAATTGCAGCTTCATAAAAAGAGTCTGGCAACAAATCTCCTGATTCTATTTTGTGGAACACTTTGAAGAGTATTGGAATTAGTGCTTCTTTAAATTTCTGGTAGAATCCTGCATTGAAGCCATTTGGGCCTGGGCTTTTTTAGGTTGGGAGACTTTTGATGACTGCTTTTATTTCATTAGGGGCTATAGGACTGTTTAGATTGCTTATCTGTTCTTGATTTAATTTTGGTAAGTGATATCTATCCAGAAAATTGTCCATTTCCTTTAAATTTTCGAATTTTGTGGAGTACAGGATTTCAAAGTATGACCTGAAGATTCTCTGGATTTCCTCAGTGTCGGTTGTTATGTCCCTCTTTTCATTCCTGATTTTGTTGATTTGCATGTTCTCTCTCTGCCTTTTAGTTAGTTTGGATAGAGATTTGTCTATCTTGTTGATTTTCTCGAAGAACCAACTCTTTGTTACACTGATTCTTTGTCTTGTTTCCTGTGTTTCGACTTTATTGATTTCAGCCCTCAATTTGATTATTTCCTGTCCTCTACTCCTCCTGGGTGAGTTTACTTCTTTTTGTTCTAGAGTTTTCAGTTGTGCTGTTAATTATCTAGTGTGACTATTCTCCAGTTTCTTCATATGAGCACTTAGTGCTATGAGCTTTCCTCTTAGTACTGCCTTCCAAGTGTCCCCTAAGTTTGGGTACATTGTGTCTTCATTTTCATTGAATTTTAGGAAGTCTTTAATTTCTTTCTTTAATTCTTCCTTGACCCAGGAATGGTGCAATTGCTCGTTGTTCAATTTCCATGAGTTTGTAGGGTTTCTGCAATTTGTGTTATTATTGAATTCTAACTTTAAAGCATGGTGGTCTGATAAGACACAGGGGATTATTCCAATTTTTTTGTACCTGTTGAGGTTTGCTATGTTGCCAAGTATGTGTTCGATTTTAGAGAAGGTTCCATGTGGCGCTTAGAAGAAGATATATTTGTGTTTGGGTGGAATGTTACCTATAGATGTCTGTTAAACCCAATTGGATCATAACTTCTGTTAGCTCCTTTTTTTCTTTGCTTAGTTTCTGTCTGGTGGTCCTGTCTAGTAGTGAGAGTGGAGTGTTGAAGTTTCCCACTATAACTGTGTGAGGTCTTGTCTGTGATTTGAGTTTTAGTGATGTTTCTTTTACTAACATGGGTGCCCTTGTATTTGGGGCATAGATGTTCAGAATTGAGATTTCATCCTGATGGATTTTTCTTGTGATGAATATGAAATGACCTTCTTCATCTCTTTTGACTGATTTTAGTTTGAAGTCTAATTTGTTCAATACTAGTATAGGTACATCAGCTTGTTTCTTGGATCCATTTGATTGGGAAATCTTATCCCAACCCTTTACTCTGAGGTGATGTCTGTCTTTGAAGTTGAGGTGTGTTTCTTGTATGCAGCAGAATGATGAATTCTGTCTTTGTATCCATTCTGTTAGCCTGTGTCTTTTTTAGGCAAATTAAGGTCATTAATATTGAGGGAGATTAAAGACCATTGAGTGTTAATTCTTGTTTGTGTTTGTTGTTGTTGGTGTTATTGCTTGTGGATTTAACACCCCCCCCTTTTTTTCTTTTTGTCTTTTGGTAAAGTTGGATTATCTATTGCGTATGTTTGTGAGCATAGTTACCTTCCTTAGATTGAAGTTTTCCTTCCAGTACTTTCTGTAGGGCTGGATTTGTGGATATGTATTGTTTAGATCTGGTTTTGTCGTGGAATAAATATCTTGTTTTCTCCATCTATATTGATTGAAAGCTTTTCTGGGTATAGTAGTCTGGGCTGGCATACGTGGTCTCTTAGTGTTGGTAGGATATCTATCCAGAACCTTCTGGCTTTCAGAGTTTCCATGGAGAAGTCAGGTGTGATTCTGATAGGTTTGCCTTTACATGTTACTTGACCTTTTTACTTGCTTCTCTCTTAATATTCTTTCTCTATTCTGTATGTTTGGGGTTTTTACTATTATGTGGCAAGGGGACTTCCTTTTGTGGTCCACTGTATTCGGTATTCTGTAGGCTTCTTGTACCTTCATTGTCATGTCTTTCTTTAGGTTTGGAAAGTTTTCTTCTATGATTTTGTTGAATATGTTTTCTGCCCCATTGAAGTGGTTTTCTTCACCTTCTTCTATACTTATTATTCTTAGGCTTGGTCTTTTCACAGTGTCCCATATTTCCTGGATATTTTGTGTTAGGGATTTGTTGGACTTAAGATTTTATTTGGTTGATGAATCTATTTCTCCTAGTAAATTTTAAATGCCTGAGTTCTTTCTTCTAACTCCTGTATTCTGTTGGTTATTGTTGCATCTGTAGTTCCAGATCGTTTACTCACCTTTTCTAATTTCAGCATTCCTTCAGATTGTGTTTTTTTATTGTCTCTTATTTCAGCTTTCAAACCTTGTACTGTTTGAATTGTTTCTTGTAATTTTTGGTTTGTCTTTTCTTCCATTTCTTTAAGAGATTTTCTCATTTCTTCCTTTAGGGTCTCTATCATCTTCATGAAGTTGGGTTTTAGGTCATCCTCGTGGTGTTCAGATCTTGCTGGTGTAGAGTTCTTAGACTCTGGTGGCGTCATATTGTTTTTTTCTGTGGCTAGATTTGTTCTCATATTGTTGTCTTCCCATCCCTTCTTCCAGTGGGTACAGGTGGGGTCTCTTCCTTTCCTGGTGAGTACGGATCCAAGGTTCTCTTCCAATGGGTATAAGCAGGACCAATTCACTGATGGGTCTCATGGTGGATGCAGATGGGTCTCAGGCACTCCGCACTCTGCCCTGAGTGGGGGCGGGAATAGGCAGGCTCTCTCAGCAGGCTCCTGGTTGCTTGGCCCTCCAGGGGCAAGTCAAGCTTGCTCTCAAATAAGAGTTTTTCTTTATTAAGCATTATAAAGATATTAACTCAGGTCTGTTTTTCATGTGTTTTTAATCT